CTGGCCCCAGGTGCTCTGCACTGCAGGAACCTGCCAGGGATTGCACCACAGCCCTAGCACCAGGAAACATTCCCCAAATGGCTCTGATTCAGGGCTGTACTCTTCACAGGATACAACACAGAGCCACTTCAGCTTTGCTCATTTACTGAAGTGACCGTGGGTTTACATACAATGTTCAAAACATTATGTAGAAGAAAAGGGTGATATATAATAAAGATCAGATAGCTTATAGAGGCTTTCAAATCTAGTACTTATAAATATCTTCTTCCTAAATATTGCACAATCAATATTTTCTTTTGGCAATAATGCTTTTGATGTGAACCATGTATCCTGACAGAAAATCCAGTAYTTCAATCTAATTTGAAGTGGAAACACTGCATTGACCTGCAGTCTGGAAAAGAGAGCCCCTGGGCCAGTGAACTGTGCTTGGCATTGTTTCAGTTAATTTTCTGTCTCACAGATATAATTAAAACCACCGAGATCAACTGATAATTTGGTAATCCAAAGTGCCCTGCAGGATCCCACATACACCATGATCTTGCAAATATTTTCTGTAATTACAAAGTATTTTAGACTTGGGGAATTGTTGCATTGCTATGGAGTGTTGATCTGTGTGCAAGATCTGTATGAAATACAGACTCTGCAGAACCAGATATCCTGTRCTGTTCATCTGAGAACAATAAAAACACAAGGCTCAGCTATGCCAGCATTTTCAGCATTGCAGCAGCAGTAATTCTCTAAGACAATGGATCACATTGCAAATTATCAGCTTGGTTTCTTCTTGTTTATGACCTTTTGAGACAACAGTGTTTTACAAGTTAAAAAAAAAGTGACAAAACTTCACATCTGCTTCTTTYCTTTAGAGACCAAATTAACTGTCACAGCACTGTAAGCAGATGAATTTTTTTGTTCCCAAGCTAGCAGTAACTTGTAATCTCACTTCAGTCCACCCCGCTCCCTGCTGCTGGCTAAGTACTTACCTCCTTGCTTGGAGAAAATTCCAGAAGAAGATTGCATAGTGTGGAAGATGCTACTACAAGAATTTCATTTGGAGCATTCTGTAAAACCTGCACACACAGAGAGGAGAGAGAGGAATTCTGTTGGTAGGGTGATGAAGGGATCAGTGAAATGGAATACCTGGAATTGTGCTTTGGTTGGRTATTCCAGACTTCAGGAGGTGCTTTGATGCTAGCAGTGCAGACCCAGGCAATGACACACATCACAGGACAAGCTGAAGTAGTGCATTATTTCACAAGTCAGATTTCAGAGCTTTCAGCCCAATTTAGTGGGAATCAGTGGGGACAAGCCCTGCTCTGCAAAGGACACCTGGGCAGAGGGAGCCCAGGAGGAGCCTCTTCAACCCCTCTGTAGCTTGTGCTAAGCACAACACTGTAAATTTCCTCAGCAGCATCGTCTCAGAGRAGCACAGCCTGGGACAAGTTACAGTCCCTTCTCTGTGCCTCMATCTCCAGCAGCACCAAAACACCAATTCCTAAACCAAGCATGTCCCTCCCTCGTTCAATACTGCCAACAGCACCTCCTGTGCTCTGGCTATTTCACTCTTGAACAGTCAGGCAGATTCTCTGGGGAGTCAATATTGCCCAAGCCTTCAGGCCTGTGTGCACACTTGCTCTGTTCTCCATTTTCAAGATCTAAAGGATATTGAAACTGCGAAACTGGTTCATTTATCTGCATTTATGACAGTGGCAYTCCAGGATGAGAGATGGCACATACCTTACACACTTGGACCTCATTTAATGTTGAGGAAAATTGCATTATATGATAATGGGTCTAATTTTTAAAGGTCTTTCTGAGCTCTTTGGCTTCAGTTATAGAATCTGCAATGAGGTCTAGGTGGTAGAGAGTTACAGGAGAAAATGCAGATCTAAATTCTCTTGCAGGGCTTACAGACCAAGTCTGAACTGTGCCATCTAGTCTG